ACTTTATGTACCAATTGATGCGTGGGAGAAGGAATGGAAACTAATGTGGCCAACCAATGACCCCCGACTGTCGCGGCTTGATTCTTTACGAACAAAGGACCAAGTCTCATTTTACATCAATACTGCCGTGGCGAATTGTCAATTCATTAGAGGGTTGCCGTAGTTCCTCAATGGCTCAATCCGAATACATTAATTAAGTCTTTATCCCTTAGAGAAAAAGATTGAGAATTCACAAATACTGAACGTAAGATAGTTAAAAGATCAATTAATGTTTATTTTGTAATACAACCCTTTAAATATGGCCAAAAAGATGGACCACAGCTGCAAGAAAAAAAATACGAAGGGGCGAACAAAAACATTCATTGGTATTCTGTGTAAACGCGTGAAAATCATTGTGAAGCTCAACATAATATTGAATTTGCTCTTTAAAAACCATTAACGTTTGTTGTGTGTATTTCAACATCGAGCTTGTTGAGTTCCATGTCTACAGATTAAAAAGCTTTTCACTTGGTTTAACATCCTTTCATAGTTCGTGGATGACTGAGTAAATAACTCTTAAGAAAAACATAGAATATTAAATAAGTGTACCGCATATAAAGAGTAAATAGTTTTAATTTTTTAATATTTATTTCGAAATTTTGAATTGTTAATATGTTATTTAGGAAATATAGTATTACATATTAGAGGAAAAAGGAGAATAAGACTACGTAAATATCTTAAAATAACTAAATAAATATATATTGTTTTTTCTTCTTATTTTTTGTTATTCTTTCTAATTGATTTACTTTTAAATTGCGTATTGCACGTAACGAAATTTGTATCTCGTCACTCGTTACTCGACACACGTTAAATTTTTCTACTATTACTCCTACTCATAGTAGACATATTAATTTTAGTGTTTCCATTTTAGTTTGAATCACATCACATCTCTATTTATGAAATGAAAATTCAAGTATATTTCAATTTACCATAATTCTTCAAGTGGTATGGTTTTCAAGTGTAAACAAAGAAATTTATCCAATTCAAACACCGTCGTCTACGCAACTTACATCTTTGAATACTAATTAAGTAAACATTCTTGGCCAGCTGTAATAAAATTCACGTCTAATATATAATTATGACAATTTCTTATTTTGTATTTTGACACATCTAAAATTGGAAATATATAGAAAAGGCATAATAAACTGTATAATGACTGAATAAACATGTGGAAAATACAGGTTTATTCAAAGCTTCAAATTTAGACATTGGTTCTTAAGTAAAAGAATACTCCAATTTTAAGGGAAACCTTTGGTATAAATACGCCGTGAGATCGATAAATATGATCAGTGGGGTGGTTAACGAAACTAACATCAAATATTTATTCAAACAAGCTTCTAAAAACAGAAGTTAAGAGCATCTTGTTTTTACTAAAAACAAAGGCTCAAGTGTGCTCTCATGAGTAAAGTTTGAACTAATACGGTCATTTGGTAAAAAAAAACATGGTCTTAGAACCATTGGACTATTAACGAAATTACACTTCCGAGTACCGTTTTAAAAGCAATTTTAGGCATCAATTTGAGGTTAATGTGGTAAGCGTTTGGATTAGAGATGATATTTGAGACTTATTATATATACTTCGTTAATATTTAATGGAACTTGTAGGTGGTTATCAAATTGCTGTATTATTTACTTAGACATAGGCCAAGAACGAATAAACATCAGTGGGTATAGACTTTATTTAAATGCGTTCTTAGTTCTTAGTTCGTAGCAATTGTGTTTTTTTTATATAAATATTTATTTAATATAGTATTTGTAATTCTGATATATTAATTACATTTATTTCTATTTTTTAGCCTGTTTTAGCTTTTTATCTTCAAATTTTGTTGTTTTAATTTATATTATAGGATATTGGTAAATATCAACTTAATTGCTTTTGAAAAAAAATAGGCATATGAGGTAGAGCAATATAATAGAAGGAATTATGCATAATAAAAATCATAAAATAAATTATATACGTGCTCACGCACACATATATAAAATATTTACAATAAAAATAATAGGTTTATCGTTTAACACTCATAGTTTGTGAAAATAAGACTAAACTTACAGATTACCTCAAATTACTATGGAATTATTTTTAAATGTACCAAGAGATTCCATTTTATTTATTTCATATTTTTATTTCGTTATGAATTCTTAGACGTTAATTAAATAAATTAGATTTAGTATCCTGAGGCGACTCTATGGTCGGTTATTTTTATTGCCCTAATCGTATCAAAATAAAAAGAATAAATTACTATATTTGCTAACTCTTTCGTTCATATACAATAACAGTATTTATTTTATTTGTAAATTGTTTATTGTATTCTCTACACATGAATATAAATATTGAATGTGTATAGAGTAAGATCACGTGTTACCAATTTTGTCTCACCTAACACTTTTCTATTTATGACTAAGCTATATTTAAAAAAAGTGCAAGTCAAGTTGCTAAATAATTGACACTTGTACATTGTTAAATTCCGCTGAATGCTAGTAACGGATTGCTCATTCAATTGCAAGCAAGATAAAAACTACTATACCTAACCTAACTAAATTATTATTTTTTATTCAAGAGGTTATCAAATTTTTAAAGTAACTACATTTTGCTAATTTATTTTAATTAATATCGCAGATTCAAATATGGAATTTACTTACTTTTAAAATATATTTTTCTCAGTGTATCAGTATTGTATAATATATTAATTTTTATTAGCAGTATATGATTAGGACCGATTACCATGAAATCTCTAATTCCTGTTCCCTAATTGTAGCTCTGAGATCCACGCTAGTTATAATTACGGGACTGATTAATAGCATCCATCATTTCACATATTACGTATAGTGCTTTGATTGCGTTATAATTGCTGAGATGTGTCACTTTGATGGACTAGGTAACGGTAAGGCAGATAGTAATTACATACGATCTAATATCTGCTGACGACCTATCATTCATTTATTGAGGCGATAATCCACGTTATAGCGTCGGGGTTAGGTTGTAATACCGACTGCCGAGTTGGCTAGTATAGTAAAGCCTTGGTTTGTAGAGTTACGTTAAGTCGTAAAATCTCCGTTAATAAAGATTTTTAATTCAAGAAGATAAATTTTCGAACGTGATCTAATTAAACTAAAGTCTAAAGATCAGTAAAAATATAAATGAAAATTTGAAAAATGTTAATATATTCTTAAAGTTATTGTATTTTGTAAATGTTTATATTTATACATAATAGAGCATTTATAGCAACCTGTGCAAATTTTATCATTTATCATTAACATCAAACTTACTATTTAACTGGCTTTTTAGTTGAGAAAAATGATCAAGATAATCAGTTTTTCAATAATATGAGTAAACTAAATCTTTAAATAAATACAATTGACAAGAAATATTTGACGGATATTCAAAATTTCTTCTAATTAATGTAATGTATTTTGTACAGAAAAAATATATGAAAAACACCTTTATTTTTGTATTTGTGCATTAAAGTTTTAATAAAAAAACAAATAAAAATAAAAACTACAAGATAAATAATAGACGGCTAAAGTCGTTCCAAAATTAAGGCAGAATGACAACGGAGTAATACTGCTATGGTTTTGTTTTCATTTTGCGTTATAAGGAACCATAAAATACAAATAAAATGGACCCCTTACTTTTTATGCCGGCACAATAGATGAAGCTTATGGCGAACACTAATTGGCGCTTGTATTGTTTAATGATATAATGATACATGTTTAGTTTTCCTGGTCGACTAAATGATAACCTCTGAACGTGGACCGTTATTAAACGTTGCTGTTATGAAATCAGCGAACAATGAGGGCGAGTACCGACTCAGGCTGTAGGAGTTAGTCATTACATTGGAAACAATGGTACTGTATTCAAACATACATAAACGGCGGGTTTATTAAAATTGTTATTCATTTATACCGTTACCGTTTTCTGCAGATTTAGCCAAGCGGAAGAGGAAACGCCACTTTATATCATATGTGGTTGTAGTCCATGAAATATCAGTTTTGGAAAGTTTATAATCTATCCTGACGAGATAAAAATCATCACTCCTAAGAATATCCTTCAATTCTTGTCCCTCACGGATCTAGGCAGCGAACCTTGATAAAGGGCGAGCATAATGTATATATGCAGGTCGGAGTATCACAGGTCTTAGAACCTGATAATAGCCCAAAACCCCCAAAAATAAAAATTAAAAATTTCAGATTACAAATATTTCAGAAATTACAAATACATATTATAAAATAAAGTTCCCGACCCGTCTGTTCATTAATGTTAAAAACTATTCGACGGATTTTTATAGAGTTTTTAGCCATAATATAGTAATAGAGTGACTACTAGGGAAGGTTTAGATGTATGATTAGTTAAAGTTTTGTGTAAATTAATTAAAATAACCTTGCGGTGTCGTGGCAGATCGCTATTTTATAAAAAATAATATTTGTTTAGGTAATATTTATAAAGATCATTGCAAATTAAAGTACTTGTTAGATACTGAAATTAGGATGGTATTCAAAGATTAATTTTAAAATAACTATGAACACAATATGTGTTTATAGTTATTTTGTGTTTATGTATTTCGGTTGTTAATGTTTGGGTTCAATTATTAAAATCATGAAAATTCTGCACATACACTTTGCTCATACATTATTCATAAACAATTAGATATTATTCATTATTAGATTTGACTTTTAAATAATTTAAATATTAGATTAAATTAAATGACAGACTGGAAATTTCTTTTTTAACTGACTGGAAATGTTTAATTTTTAAAACAAAAATAATAATTTTTATGTAGATCTTTTAAGCAAAATTCTAGATTAGAAATATACAAAACAATATTTTAATAGTAGCACAGTCAAATTAAATAAACAATTATTATTAACTCAACACTGGTAGTATAGTAGTAATGAATATGGGTATATAAAAGTATATTCAATGTGCTTTGTTTGAAAATTTTATTCAAGTAAAAAACACTTACTTTTTACCGCTCTCCAGGAAATGGTCATACTCCACCGACATTTTGCAGCAGAGGTGTTTGCGTTGATGCGACGCCGAGCAGTTCGTGTTTACCATGTGTCCATCTGGTAATACACGAAAATAAACTTTAATGCAATGACATACAGTTAAATTTTCTATAATAATTCGCCCAGGTAAAGGTACCCTTATCTGAAGTTCCAACAAATGTAAGAGATCAAAATACTTTTAATATTACGAAGTTGAAACTTAGTAATGTTACTCACTGGTTTGATTTTGATGCTGTCGATTTTCTGTGTCTGTGAAGAACCAAGTCTGTAACAAAAGATATAACTTTTTAAAGGCATATGATACGTTACGATTACCTTTTGATATTACATAATCTTAAATTTCATAGAAAAACAACAAATCTGTTAATAAATATATAAGCTGAACTAAAGTAATAGAAAGTATAACATACGATTCTGTAATTTAGGTCAAGAAATGTAAAAATATAATATAAAATGCATGCAAAGCTGACAATAAATATATGTAAATATATGAGTGTACAGTGTATATAACGGAGGAACGACATATGTATAGATTGTGCATATAAATCTTTAGGAAGAAATTCTTAATCATATATAATAAATATATCGTATCAAAATCCGTTGCGTGGTTTATAAGAAGTTAGCGACATAACTTTACAATATACATACTGATACTTGACTGAGTTGTTTTACAACAAATATTAAATACTTCCTTCACGTGAAATCAAAGAAAAGTAATCGGAGTTTTAATTTCTATACATGTGTGTAAATATTTATGTGTGAGATGTTTTCATTTCTTATCACATACATACACACACAAAGCGTCAAACAAAGTCAAACTTTGTTACTTATCTTCCTCAAGGTGCGTTAAACATTTCCGCGAAATTTGTTAGAAGCTTTGTTGTACAATCGTTGTGTAATCAAATACTTCATACATTTTCGACTTACAAATTCTATATCTCTGTTATATTTTTCCAAATGATATTATCAAAAGTATATTAATAATCATTAATATTTTATGTAGGTACAAAATAAGAATTTTTTCTCTTAATACCTTTTTTTATAGTGATATTTGATAATTATAATATTTTAGAGCTTTTGTTGGAATCATGTTTCAAAATATTAGGCATGTTGAAAATTTAATTATATTTTGAGAGACACCGATCCTACCAGAAGAACTTATTAGTCACCAGTTAAAACATAATATATATATTTTTAAATATATATGTTTAAATTAAACAAAATTACAGTGATTTATTTTACAGGAAGAAGGCGAAACTTGACCTACTTTCATTAAAATTAGAGATAGCATATGTTCGTGCCCCCGATGCAATCAGTCTTTAAATTTCGTATGCATTATCCATATTATAAAAGATACTCAACTATTTTTTTTTATTTACGCATTTCAAAACATTTGACTAACACGTATTTTTGAATTTAGGTTAATTAAAAAACATGTGTAATTTATTCATAAGTTGTTAAAAGTGTCTTGATAATTGGTAAATAATTTAATTTTATCCATTGCAGTAATATTGCGATTCTAGATAAAGGGATTTATAACCACATTACCAAATTTATTAAGACAGTATGAATGTATAATAGTGTAAGTAGAAACTTGTAGATTTTATCAGTTATTCAAGTTGGTCAGTTTTTAATGAATATAAATTGTCATATTAACAAATTGAGTGACCAGTAAACATGTCTGAAGTTAGTATTTATGTGTTATTTATGAAAACGCCTACACGGTCAGATATAATCTACGTAGAGTTAATATAACATTAGCATTTAGGGCGGAACTGCCGCAATCTCGTTCTCTGTTGACAGAACACACCCGCCGATAATAGGTGGTAAATGTTGCTTAGGCACCAACAACGAAATGAATCATATGGAAGTGGCTAAGATAGATTCGTTTTTAAACCGAAAGGATTTCAAAAAGATTTCACTAATTTGTGTGTATACTAGAATACAATTAAACGATATATACCAAGTTTTCTTAAGGATCGGCAACGCGCACGTGACACCCTTTGTGTCGTTAGGCGTCCATAGGATACGGTAACCAATGGTATAAGATGGCCCGTATGCATGTTTGACACCATCAAAGTAAAAAAAAAAACTAAGTAGGAATTATCGCCCTAAGAACGAGGAAAGCTCAGACAATTCATATAGTAGCGTCCTTAAAATTGTTCTTACTGAGGAACAAGTTGTACGAAGAACCTTCACTGAGACGATTATCTGCTTTAATTGTAGTTGAGCAATATTAAATGGATAAGAGTAAAAACAAAAAAAACATAAATTAAATAAATATTTCCTAACAACTATAATAGCGAATAAAGTAATTTGGGATGTGATTAAAGATCAAATAAAACGTATTTAATGATATTATTTCATTAAATTAAATGTATGCACTGAAAGTTCTACGCGATATGCGTAGTTCGATTCGTATTCAGAGCTAGGTATTAATTTACAATACATGCCGCTTCAATAAATCACTATTGTTACTAGCAGTTCGGTAAATACCATTAAACACACCTTGGTCTGTTCATAACATATTCACTTAACGTATCCATCTAGATAAATTACTGAAATACTGAGTATAATTTCATTTCACTTGTAGTCTATACTATACTACTAATACCTACAGTAGATTGAAGAATCTTCTTTACTATGTTATCTGGTATTAATACGAAAAATAAACGTGACGAAATTGATACAGATCTATCGAAAGGTTATTAAATCGTAGATTATAGAAAAAAAAATCTTTCAGAACATGATGGAGATATTCAGTGGATATACAGCAGTAAACACAATTTATTCTTGTTTTCATCACAGTTACACTTAAGACAACTGTTACTTAGAAACGAGAACACTATTTTTAAATAAGATGAATTATAGTTTTGATTCCATATCTAATGTATCTAATAGAACAACAGACTTCAATGAATGAAAGATAGTCAAGAGGAAATAAAAGTGTATTAATAAAGATGCATAGTATTCGCATCCAATAAACTACTAGGTTCTAGCAAAACATCTGACGGTGTTTGTCAAAACTTTAACGCTGACTGCGTTGTTTACTCCATGTTGAAGAAAAACAGAAGGAAACTCCAAATAATTTCAATTTAGGCATTTCTATATATTAGGGTTTAATTTAAAGTTAGCTCAACATCATTCCTACACATTAATATTTAAGATTGACACTTTTAGTCATATTGTTTCCAACATCCTTCTTTTGCAGTAAGATAAAAATAATAAGCTGTAATTTTTATGTCCATATTCTAAACGAATTAAGTTTCTACATATTTTTTGTAATTAAAAGGATATTTGGCCCAATATATACTTAAAAATGGTTAAATTTCAAAGAGAGGTTGATGTTGCGCATATTTTCATTAGGTAATAATTAATTGAAGGTCCTCGTTAGTACATTTTACAATAAATAAGTTAATACAGGTATCATTTTCAATAACGTCCGCCGGTGTCAGGCCGTTGGTATTATTACAAGTACTCGTGTATGCATAGCATTTATTACTCAATTTGTAATCTGAAGAGTACTCCATATCCAGTCAGAATATAACGCGTATTGAATTTAGATTTGCCTGCAATAATAATTTCATTGGTTTCCCATTTAGTCCTTTAAAAAATAGTCTGGTAATATTGTGTATTATATTTTTTCTGTAAATTTTTAATATCTTATCATAATTTTTATAAAACTCTTGGTAACAGTTATTATATTTTTTACTAGCAGTCATCTGTGATTTCGTCTACTTATGTAATTTTATAAATGATCCAGTGCATTTAGTTCAAATTAGCGCTCGAATAAAAAAAATAACATACCACATACATTCTTACTAAGTTAGAAGAAATATAGGTTTCATCTAATTTACACAATCTATTTGGAAATTGTAGCCTATATGTTATTCAGATGTACTTAAAGTTATATTAGTAGTTTTATCGATTTCACGCTATACTGATAATATTTGAATCATTTAAATAATTGTATTAATAACATTCATCTATCCATCCTATCCATCGTTCCAAGCAAAATTTTTTATAATATTAGTGGGAAGTACTAGTAAAATTAATTTATTTTTTTATTATTCAAGCTATTTACTTTACTTTTATATAAACGTAGCCTAGATATATTTTTATATTCGCGTCTACAATATAAGGTATCTTATATTCTATTAATTATAGTATTAGGATTATATTATTATTGTATTGAAAAAACTGTAAAATCGGCTCTATATATTAACAAAACAAATTATGTTAAAACTAGCTTTTGCTCGCGGCTTCGCACGCGTTAATTTAACCCCTTAGGGGTAGAATTTATCAAAATCCTTTCTTAGGAGATGCCTACGTCATAGTAACTTTACGCATGCAAAGTCTCAGCCCGATCGGTTTAAAGTTGACAAAGTTTCATATAAACTTTCATCCCCTATTTTATCCCTTTGGGGGTAGAATTAATCAAAATCCTTTCTTAGCGGATGTCTACGTCATAACATCTACCTGCATGCCAAATTTCAGCCCGATCCGTCCAGTGGTTTGGACTGTGCGTTGATAGATAACTATGTCACCTTTGAATTATATATTTTTAGATATTATTTCTTATAAATATGAATTATTAATTATGTTATATTAATGATGCAGGTAAACTTAAGTACACAACTGAATTACAATTTATACAATAAATTTTAATCGCCATCGAGTTGAGTGACTTTTATCAAATAAGTATAATATATAAATAAAATATGTAATATTGTAAAACAAATATTTCGTAATAAGTCAGTGTCAATAAAAAAGGATTCTATTTTAAGAATTCCGTATACTGTGTGATATTATATATTGAATTACTATAAATTAATCTTCGTTGGAGATGATATTGACGGCTTTTGTTAAAAATATGAACATCGTATAAATTCTCAGATAAATCAAAAGCAACCTATCCAAAATACAAAAGAGCTAAAACCGACGCAGTCTGGTCACGTGGCCGGCGCGCGCGCCTTAATGCCACGCGCGCAAGCGCAGGGTCCGTGCTCAATAGTTATTTATGTTGGTCCTTCGGACCGGATTAACGGTTGATTATGCACGCTCCAGATTCAGGAAACGCGAGTTAACCGGGCAATGCACGACTAGTCGCAGACCTATTGTTAACTTTTGTACAATTCAATATAAAGAGCACTTCGTGTTTCTACTTGATATATTGCCTATGGGAGTATTATTCATATGTTACATTTTAATTTTGAAACCATGCTGAATTCGATTTTTTTTTGTTGTTTTTTACTTATAATTAGGGTCTACTAATGATTTTAAAATGTACTTTAACAATTGTCACCACATTCATTAGCAGACAGAATAGGGTAATTAATGAAACACACTAATGATTTTAAGTCTCAATTAGGAAATTACTTAAAATAGTCTAAAGACCAAATATTATATTCGAGTTTTAAAGTGAAATTAATGGCGACGTTGACCTTATAATTAAAAACATACGGTTCCAGCTGTGAACAATTATCTAATGCATTTATTACTTTGTGGTAAAAATTTGACACTGCGGGTAGTATTTTGATTGTCCCCGAATTTGTTTGTGATTATTTTTAGTAGAAACAATAACACTATAGCATTAACAAATATGCAATAAATTATCATAAATCGTTATCGTTAATGTTTCGGTTTTTACAAAGATACATTTGTTGGTGTAGTAACTATACATAAAACGGCTTAACCAATTCGGGTGTAATTTTTACTAATATAATGCTTAATTTCATTTAAAATTTATAGTGCCTGTTTACTTTCAATCGGTTTATAAAAAAAATTATACATGTCGAACTAACCGGCTCAGTTAATACCTAATGTTATTTTTCTGCCAGTATAGGCCTTCTAAGTACTTTAATGTTATATTACTAGACGCATTATTGGACTTGACGCCCCTTCCTTTATTCATACAGGAAAAGGCGAAAGCCAATATGCTCAGAATAAGTTCCCAAAGGAGGATATCTTGGCATTCCCTGGCCATAAAAACTATACAAGACTCGATTATGAGTGATCCTATTCTGGGAATGCCTGAAGACAACATGGCACCAGAGTGTAACTTTGTACAATATTACAAAATCGAAATATCTGGAAGAGACGAATGGCAAAATAACCATACACCGTCTCACTCAGAGCATGACCTAGTCTGGTTTACAGACGGGTCCAAAATGAGATGATGTAGGATGTGGAATATGTGGTGTAAAACCCAAAATCTGCAACTATATAGGCTTAGGAAAATACGCCTCAATCTTTCAGGCAGAGACTTACGCCTTAATTAGATGTCTGGAAGTAATCCTAAGCCTCAACTACATCAATCAGAACATATACATTTATTCGGACAGTCAAGCTGCTCTACTAGCACTTACCTCGTACGAAATCCGTTCTAAACTTATTAGAAACTGTATCCTGCTACTAAATGAAGTAGGAAGCAGAAATAATATTATTCTGAGATGGGTCCCCGGGCATTCAAATATTGAAGGCAATGAGAATGCCGACCATCTGGCAAAGTTAGGGGCAAAAACCGTCCAACTGGGCCCCGAACCCTTCTGTGGTGTGCCTCGTTGCCTAAAACTGGGACATCTCAAATTAATAACCAAACGAGAAGCACTGAATCACTGGCAAGAAATGCCAGGATTAATACATTCAAAAGACCTTATATCGGGCTTCTCGACCAAATACTCCAATCGATTACTGCTATTGAGTAAAAACAACATATGCATGATGACTAGGGCCCTCACAGGACACTGCAAATTGAACAAGCATATGGCTAAGCTAGGCCTATGCACGACTAGTATCTGCAGATTCTGCCAAACTGAAGAGGAAACGCCGCTTCACATCCTATGTGGTTGTAGCCCACTCATGCATAAACGAAATATCTCCTTTGGAAAGTTTACACTCTTTCCCGAGGAGATAAAAACGATCGCTCCTAAGAATATCCTTCAATTCTTGTCCCTGACGGGTCTAGGTAGCGAACTCTGAAAAGGGCGAGCACAATAGATCTATGTAGGTCGCAGTGCTACAGGTGCTACACATCTGACAATAGCCCAAACAACCCAATAAAAAAAAAAAAAAATATATTACTAAGACATGACAATATTATTTATTATGCCAAAACAATATACAAGAGAAAATCATTGCTAAACTATAAACGATATAATTTTATGCATAACTAGAAGTAGAAGTAAATAACAATTAAAATATCCGGCGTAACTGTATGTTTTTATGAAAATGACTTAAATATCTTTATTTTTTATTGACTTCTGAAAATATTAAAATTTATAAAATTATGTTAGATTCCTAAAAAAGGAAGAAGAAAATATTCTATTATAAAATAATAAAATATTTTCTTTGTTTTTTGTGTTTTCAATAAAAAATAAAGAAAAATCATCATATCAGAAAAATATTTGTAACTATAATTTAAAAATAGTATTGATAGTATGTTCATAATTTAGTGATTAACGGTAGAATTAAATTTGTAATGACATTAGACACCAATTCTCTAAGGTGCATTATTTTCGATAATTGAGAGACTGTTATGTTTAGCAAAATGGTTTGTCCATATTCTAAAGTTGCTGAAATGTTGGAAATAGGAAAGTATACATTAATGTAATAATTTGTTCTAGTTATTAAATAAAATCATTCTATTAATACAAATATAAGGTTAATTAATGATAAAAGATTTGTAATTATTTTATTACTCATAGACGAAAAACATGCATATAATTGTGCATAAATTACATACAAATGGCGTTTACAATTAAGTTTAAATATTTATGAATAAAATTAATAAATACATATATAATCTAGCACAGGGTAGGGAATGTTGTGGAAACAGTAAAATTGTTTTGTTTATTAATGTAAACATCCATTTGAATAATAATATTAAATGTACAAAGAAGAAATATTTTGAATTATGAACAAAAATTCCAATAAATAATGCTCACCTGTTGCCTCGCTAATTGAAACCATGTTTTCAAAATTATCGGTAATCTTGTATACTGATAATGTTTTGTTGTCTTAACACTAATAAAAATATCATTTAAACTAATGTTTTTATTCTGTCCACTATTGTAAAGACTTGTTTTTGTCACAGGTTCAATAGAAAGGTCAGGCACTTGCACTGCTCCCGGTCTTTCTTGGAAGTTGAAAGTTACTCCGCCATGGTACACTAAAAGGCTACAGTATCCTACTGTTATCAGCACAGCTGCTGCTTTAATCATCCTGCGCCCTCCCATGCCAGAGCCTGGCGGCACTGAAGCACTGATAAGCTTGCGAAAGTCTTAACACGTTATCACTCATCTGTTGGTATTTATATCGAAACACTATTCAAAAACAGAGCGCAAAGTATAGTCCAAACCGACACAGTGGTTTAACGTCAAAGAACGGCTACAAACTAAATAAAAATGTAGCACATTTGCCCGCGCTACCGCCGCCCCCACCACGTGGTGCGAGTGAGAGGTGTGATTGTTTTGTCCCTATCTTTTAGTTGGCCCTACCTGCGCGCGCGCCGAACTGCCGCCTGCACCGCCGCCGGCTGTGATACCCATGTCGATTGTTCAATTCAACTTTTTCTTGGTCTGAGACATAGATTATTGTATTGATATATACTGACAGTTCGAGATATCAACATTGTATAACATTAAGAAATCAAAACAAGAAATAGTTACTCAGAACGACATAGTTGCTGGATTAATAGGCTCGTATGGGCTGTTGATGACAAATTCATATATGGTTCTTAAATGTGTCTCGTTTACTAATTATTAATAAACTGTTTTTTTCTTAAAACAGCAACAGAACTGCAATAGCAACCTGGTGAATTCACCACAATGAATCTGATTTCCTATCCGGATTCTGTCGCTAGTGCCAGGAGTCGCATAGGCAATATTCAATCAATATTTTATGAAAATTAATAAAAAGAAGAATCTTCGTATTTCGTTATTACTCTGACTGGGAGAGTTGCAATTAATAGAGTCAGCATGACTATCTTATAAAAGAAACGTAATAAAGGATAAATGAATATAACATTGAACGACGAGCTATGGCAAATCACGGCTATAGATGTTTAATTTATAAATATATCTATCTATCATATAATACTCAATACAGATATATCTACAAATTAAATTACAACCCTACTGTCAACTTATTGGTCAGTCTCAATTACAGAAAATTACACGATATCTCAGTGATTCACTGACAGATTTTACATCGTCATCCCACTAATTTGTTTCCATTGGCGTACAATACACTTTTGTTACGGAGGATATAAGGTTGCTGTGCCCAAATCAGCAGCCAGTGGGTGGTAATGAAATTATTGAGAGCCAGTCATTGTTGCATTAAATTCCACTCAAATTAGATAATAAAAGACGAAATTGCCTACCGGCGAGATTAATAGCGTGAGTTTTGAAAGTCCAAGTGAAAGAAGAATAGATTTAATACATGGAACAAATTTTTAATTTGTCCATCCATTGAACGGTATTTCATTTCGCCGTTAATTTCACTTTGTAATTATTTTCACTTGTTCTGATATTATATTGCGTTTAATTAAATTATTTTTATACCTTTGTGGTATGTGAGTAATAATATTAACAGAAATTTCATGTTAGTTAATTCCTGATGAATTTGCAATGATTACCTGACTGACTTGTATTCATAGGTACTCTTTTACTCTTTATGCTGCTGCATAGCATAATTGAATATACCGTTCCATTGATGCTATGGGAATAGATCATCGCAGATCAAGATTTTAAACTATTAAAAGCATAACTTAAACACAAAAAATCAGACTAACATTGTTTCTAGCAGGATAGCAAACTAATTAAACTCCAACTAGTTTATATTAATTATTCAACTAACTAGTTACGGAGCAAACCAACGGGATCGAAAACAAAACGCTAAGAAAGGAAATAAACTGAATAATTAATAAGAGATTGTAACAGAGATCACCCAACAAGAAATCTTGTCTCTCGCAAATTTTGTGGAAATTTGCTATTAATTAATCATAAACATGAATGAATGAATGTAGGGAGAATATAAGGGAGTCGGCTTTTTATTTTATTCTGTTATCTGTAGAATTAAGAAAGGGCTAATTTGTCGTTCTTATTTTAGCAAGCAAGGATTTGTTCTTACAGATGTTACTTTGTTATGCTATATTGCCTAACGTTTTGAAACTATTAATTAATATAACAACCCTTTGTCATTTTATAACTTGATACAGAATACAAATACTTAATTACTATCATTACGAAGAGGCGTAGCTAGCTTTAGGATATTGGATTATCCGTTGATGCTAGTTGGGACTGGGTTACGGCCACAGATTAGACTATTTTCTTTTGACACAAATGCATATGCTGGTAATCACTCTATTCTCCCCAATTGGCTTTAAAAATCTGAATTTTTGTACGCATATTAAGAATAAAAACTGAGATTCTTGGCATATTTTCTTACCTCGAAAGCTTTAATCATAAGAGTCTATATCTAAATGAATAATGATATTTGATTTGATATTGAAACTTGAATTAATATTTAAATAATAATTTTATATTTCGGATTTACGAACCTACTTCGCGAGAATTGAAATAAGGTATTTATATTCTTGGTAAGCCTACAAAAACGTCAAGTATCTCCAGATATGCAGCAATGTCGGCTTTTATTGTGTAGGTTTATCTTTACAAAAAAAGTCAAATCAATTTACTTAAGTGGTCCGTGGGTCGATTACAACTAGACTTTATTAAGAAGTAAAACTGGATCACAGTCTGTTTTACTGCTATATTTTTAATTAGAATTTCTACACGGTCATCAAGTGAGGCAATAAATGACTGCGCCAACGGTAACCGCTTTAAATAATAATTTGTTTTATTCGACTTTAATATCTGATGCTGTTTTTGCATGTTTACCAGTTTTATCACGAGTAATTTCAAGAAAACAATGGTTCTCAATTACATTTTTACTTATTGTTTTTTAACTTGTTTGTAACTATTTTTTTTTGTAATTGTAATGGCAAAGAATCTGACCGCCTATATACATGAACAGCACTACGGACATCACGTTAACATGTGACGCCCGCGATATTTGTTGCTCATTAGTTGCTGTTCCAAAGATGTATGCCTCCATATCCTGTAAATACACTGATATCCTTATCTCACCCAACAACTGAAATACCGTTTAAAAAGAGAGCTGCTTGGGCACTGAAATAGGTGAGACTGAGGTACCTAGACTACTTAGGTATTGTATGTGTTTTTTTATATTTGTCTGGTAATTGTTTTTATTTTTACATAGTTTTCTTTGTGTTAGTGTAGTAAATTACAGTCACATTAGAATTATTTTATTCAAGTTATCTCGTCTTGCTTGTAAGAAGTACAATGTCCATTCATTTCTTATTACCACAGAAGAAAATCTTAAGTAAATATTGACACTACAATTAGATGTTAAAAGAAATCCATGTTTCAAGAAGTCTTGGCTACTGCAGTGCATGCATCCTTAATGCTTACTGCATACAGCTAACTTAGTTGCCAGTAGTACGTGATAAGTAGTGGCAGCTAATAATCGAGTGTTAGTAGCGAGAAAGCTAAGCGTAACCCATCTCTAATTGCGGAAGCATTCGTAATGACGATCGCACACGCCAGTACCAAAGCCGTGGGAACAATAATATGCATTTACAAAGTTTCTTTGTAGTTAAAAATTATTAGACTAGGGTCGAGATTATACTTCACTTAAAAAAGAGACTTATTAATTCATTTGTACTGTATATTTCTTAGGCGATATTGCAATCGTATTAATTCTTGTAATAATTATGTAATTATTATTTTTGTACTTAACGGGGATTTAAGGTATTCGTATATTTAGTTACCTACTAAATATACGTATTTATTTTCTCATTATCTATTATATTTCCCGATATCTTTTAACGTATTTTGTATTCGTTTAGGGAATAAATTTCATGAACAAAATGTCGACTTGCATTTTCGTATACAGAAAATGTAAGTGCAAATTTGATTTATAGGTATACATTATCACGAACACTCTGATTGTGGAATGAGCTGCTTGCCGAGGATTTCTCTAGAGACTACAGCATGGGGTTTTTCAAAAAAGGCATATTAAGGTAGGCGCACGTTATTCCCTTGGTGTTTCAGGCCATTGGCTATGGTAATTGTTTACCATAAGATGAGCTGTATGCTTATATAACTTTGTAGTGTATATAAGATACAGTGTTGTAGAGTTAATGATGATTGAACAGTTATATACATAGTAGAAATTATTTAAAAAGAATGATATTCTAGAAAACAGTATTGAACTTTATATAAGTTTTCCATGTCATATCCAGGCATGTTATTTAGGACAACTCCGAAACATTTTCAGTGAGCCTCAAATATGGGATAAAATCTCAATCAGACATTTATATATAATTTTAACTGTTTGTTAACTGTTGTCATAGAAATCGTAAAAAAAATAATACAAGTTTCTCGAAAGGCTAGTTCACTTAAAAAGGAAAAAACCAAATTATTGATGATTAGAACGTGTAAACTCAAATACCGTAGGCATATTATGTACGACTTCAATTATAATTGACGGTTAAATCACTGCGTTCAATAGATTTAATTTCAAGTGGTAGCATTCCTTTACATCTTAAATTATACGATAGGGTACATTTGGAATTTGTTCCGGTTTTTTTCTGGAGGCGATACGGCTATATATTTTTTTTTATTTTATTATTTTAAAATATGATCTGTTGTCTATCATTTGACTACTAGGTCATAGAATATATGGACAACGAATGAGACTTAGACCTTAGATTTCATATTCTACAGAACTTTTTTAAAGAAATGCTTATTTTTTTCATCTATTCATTAATAGAATACAATCGAACAGAAAATTCTTTATTCAAATAAACTTAAGTTGAAGCACTTTAAAATACTTAATAACACTTATTTCAATGTACTGCTCATTCGAAAAGCTGTCGATTCGACGATTCAATTCGACTTGCGTGTTGCTCTTTTAAATTATTTAGTTGTAACTTTAAATTTTTAAATTAAAATGTGTGAATACAAACTACTTACCAGCACTATTAAAAATTAAAATTTGTCAAAATATTTAATACACAATCAACTGGTTAAGTCACTATATAAGATTAAATTAGATAATTTTTATCATCTGTATTTTAATATGGAGTTGACCATATTAAATATATTCTGGTCCACTCCACGAGTGTACCAGAATGGTAACCAGTAGAGACAAATGGCGAGCTGTCGTATTGTGGATGACATCAGCCTCATACTCCACTACCACGACCGTTCTATCAGGAACGTATCGAATGAGAAGAATATTTTAATATATAGCAGACCAGCTATTACCCGCGACATATCTGGTTTCTTTAAGAAAAAAATAAGAATATATCCCATATCTGCCT